GTGAAGGTTGTGATGTGTCTCAGGCTTTGTCTGTAAGCCATTCTGAAGACTCACTCATGATTTTGGTCTTATCACTTCTAATTCAACTGCCTTTTGCTGTCAAATTTTTTCTCTGAGGCTTGAGAACCTAACAACCTACCTGCCTGGGAGAAAAGAAATGATTAGAGATGGGGGGAAAAGAATATTAGGTAAGAAGCTAGATGATATTTCAAACATTTTATCTCGTTATATACAGCTAAGTAAAATTTCTAACAGGAAGGTTGGATGGGATAAAGCAAAGACTAAATTCATGTTAGAAGTATGAGGAGAATTTATTTGCTAATATATTGCAACAGACTCTTTGGTCTTCTCCATAGCCCAGTCACTAAGTGTTCTTCCCATATAATGTCCAGTGTGTTCTGAAAGAAAAGTCAGACTTTGAAGAGCAAATGACATAGGCTTAATCCCTGTTAGTGTCTTGGGCTAGAAAACAAGGATTTCTTCTCTTCCTATTCAATCTGGAGACAGAAGATAAAGACCTAGTAAGGCAGGGAGGAAGGAGGTGAAAGTGTTCATGCTTGGCAGGTGGGGGGGGGGCTGAATATTATTTATCTTTTCAAACTTTCCTGCCCACTTTATTCAGTTCTTCCTCCTTGACTCCTGATAAAATAAAAACTTCAGCCAAATTAAATTTAAAACAGTTTAATTGAGCAATGAACAATTCATTAATTGGGCTGCTTCTTGAGCCAGAGTAGGCTCAGAGACTTCAGCACAGTCATGTGGCGGAAGAAGATTTATGAACAGAGAAAGGAAAGTGACCTACAGAAAACAAAAGTGAGATATAGAAAGAACTAGATTGGTTACATATCAGCGTTTGCCTTATTTGAACATGGTTTGAACAGTTGGCTATACTTGATTGGCCAAAACTCAGTGATTGGCACAGGTGTGGGCTACGGTCTATTTACACCTCCACTCTTCATAGTTCACAATTTACAGAAAAATCTTTAGGCTGAACTTAAAATATGTTAGGAGGCAGCTTTAGGCCAAAATTGATTTAATAATTCCCCCCTTTTGGTTATCTTCTCAATTTTGAAAGATTGACTGAAACTTTAGTCATTGATGTCACTATCACCGTTGTAAATGTACTTATTTGCTATTGAAACCCACTGGGAAACAATAAAAGAGTAGGTTTTACAAAGTAGGAACAAGGACTCAGCAGAGGGTTCCCCCTTATGCTGGAATGTCCTGTTTACATGAAAAAACAAAACAAAACAGCAACAAAACCTTGTCTGTTGTAGGATCTATGTGTTTCCTTAAAGTCTTAGTTTGATTATGTCACATTTAGCACGAGTGACTCCATTTTGGTTTGGTCTGGTTTCTTGGGGCCTACTGCATGAGCTCAGTCAAAAACAATGGCTCCCATAATTTTGTTTAAAAAGTCCCCCTTTTTGGTCAGGTTCTCATGTAGGTGAGAGTGTGACAAAACTTAGGGCCTTAGCTCCACTCTCAGTTACCATCAGTTTTGGTTTCTGGTCTCAGCATGCCATTCATAGGTTACAGTGACTTCATGGTCACACATTTCTGTCAGCTCTTATCATTCCAGTTGAAGAGACATTGCAGAGATGGCTGCATGCAAACATTGAAAACTTTTGAGAGAACATAGCCCACCAGGGAGACTGCTATTATGACTATCAGGAGGGCAATACCAAGATTTTGGAGTATGCTTACTTCTCAGAGTCCCCATAAACCAAACTACCTGAAATCAAGTAGATCGAAGAATTAGCTAGAGTTCACTCACTTAAGCAAGCAGTCTCTTCATTAATCCCCTACAGCTGAATCTCTATCATCTACATTTGGTGTATTTCTACATAGACCACAAATGCCAGCAGCTGCACAGATACTTCTGTTTAGCCAGTAAGTAATCTAGAGCAATTCTACTATTTAGCATAACTTTCACAAGAGAATGTAAAGTCTGTTGTGTAGTGATAGCCTTTACAGTAGAATCTTCTGTAGAGCCTATCATGAGGGATACATTTCTAACCATTTCCTTTTTTACTTCAAACCATGGGAAAAAGGACTTAACAATTGGTGCCCTTCTAGAATAGTGAAGGCCTCTTGGCAATGTTCTCTTTAGCCCATGATGTAGGTTAGGAGGATTGAACCAATGTTCCATTTCTGACTGATTATGGGGCAATGTATGTACCATGAAAATTTCTCACCTACATTGGGGCCTTTATCTTTTTTTCTGTCAAGGTATAAAGTTATCCATGTAAAAGACTGGCTGCAAAAATCCTTCACAAATAAAAATATACCCCATGAATGCACACAACTGACCCCCTATTCACTTCTATTGTTCATGGAGGCATAAGCAAGGAAAATATTCAAAAATAAGTATCATTATAGTACAGATGTCTTGATCCATGATCTCAGGAGAAGCTGTTCACATCAAGGATGCCATCTTCTTCTGAGGAGAAGCTTCCCAGTTAGTGTTACTTTAAGGGTTCCAATGCATGTAAAGTTCCAAGAGTGTGGAGGGACCTTTCTCAGTTGTGAGATTATTAACCCAAGGTTCAAGGTTTCAAAGTTTGCTGCAGTGTGGATGGCAAGGGCAGTCTTTTTCTGATGTTTTCAGAAGATCCAATCTTCAGGTTCTAGATTGTGAAGAGGTTGATTGTTCCTAGTCAGTAAATCATAAAAATCTTTGTTTACCTGGTGAGAATATACTGTGACATAATAATATACTGTTATAACATCAGACCTCCTGCATGGGAAAGCTTTTATTCAACTGGAAAACATGCATTGAAAATGACTACTGAATGAGGTCTTTCTATATATGTTTAAATGGTCCATCAGGCAGCCAAATGTACCTGAAGCTTTGATTATCTTCCAAGGAATATGGGTTTGACAAACCAAACATTGGTCACAAAATATTTTAGCAATTTAGAAGTCACCACACCAATATGTATTTAATTTGGATTATTTTATCTTTTTCAGGATGAGTCATGGAATGCAGAACTCTTAATAACAAAAGCTTTAAGGACTCAGGAAGGACAAGGTGACATCCTTGTTTTCCATAAGTCCAAGATTATCATTGAATTTAGTCCTCTTGAATACCAGTTGTTTCTCAAATGTAGGTGCATAGCACTGATAACTGATGGGTTATTGTAGGTAATTTGACATAGATCATGGAGTTTGTTCAAATCACATATCTAAACAATTTCAGTATTGGCTGATTTATCTGGCAAAGTACTTTCTTGGTATTCAATTAATTTTTGTTCACTTGGGTTAGCAGCCAGAAACCTGTATTCAATAGTGCTTTTCAGGGTCTTTTCCATCCTTTCATGAACCTCCTAAAAGACATCATATTCTAGGGTTTTGCACACTTGTGAAGTTTTCAAAAACGGCATCAGCATCAAGCAATTACCTATGGAAATGAGCTTAAATAGTCACAGTGAAAGACATAATTGACAAAGAAATTAGGTTATTTCTGTGGTCTTCAATAACTACACATAATAACCATAATTGTGATTAATAGCATATACTCAGACACATTAGAATTTTAGAAATGCCATACAATTTTGGAACATATATTAATATCATTCACTAAATATAACCCAAAGGAAGTTAAACATTACTTTTTATTTTGACAATGCTTCCCATGTAACTTAACATGTCAGATAATTCTGTTTATCTTTCTTTTGGATTCTTCAGGGGCCCTCTGTAACATCACAAAGTTAGAGGTTAAAAAAACTTAATTTTGAAGCAGAAATTTGATTTTGGGACATTTATCAAATATGTTAAAGGTTTACAATATTTGATATTATGAAATAGAATTCCAGATCACCATAAGTCATTCATTTTTGAGTTAGCAAAATCATAACTCAAAAATTTTAAAAAGGCAAAAACCATTACTCATTGATAGAAGCAAGATTTAGCTTTCAAAACAATGTTTCTTGTCTTTTCCATCTTTTTCCTGTAGTTTACTCAAAAGGCAAACAAAAATCTTTCATTATTCTTTTATTAATATTACATGAAATTTTGTTTAAGAGAGAAAGCCAAATTTCACCCTTGCATTAGTGTACTATTAATGTCAACCTCAATTTTTAATAAAAGTTTATAAACAAATCTATTTAATCTTATTTAGTTTGACCATAAGGTGAGATTCTGATAAATACTTTATGACTGTTTACAAATTGGTTAAAAAGCAGCTCAGTGCTCTAAGAAAAGCTGGTTGTGCTTTTATTCCAATGTTCAATTTACAAAAAAACTGAATAATACCTCTTTAACTTTAGCCAATATATTCACACACAGAATCTCTTTCACGATTAATTTTTTATAAACCTTTCACAACTTCTTCAAACCTTTAGGTTTTTCCTATCTCACTTAAAACAATCTTTTACCCTCTAAACTTAGGCAAGAAATCCATATTCCCATGCCTTGTTATAATCTTTTACCAAAAGTATATTCTACTTTCGTTTCACCCCTTGTGTATAGAATTGTTTGTTCAGTAGTCTCAAATATATGCTATATTGTTAACTCTTAGCAACTTTTACTTGTGGTGAAAAGCCTTGTTAGTAAGCAGTTTTAATTATGCAGTGGGTGTGAAGCCTGGGACACCAGTCAGAAATGCAGATAAAGTCTGACTCTTTCCAGCATAGCTAAGGGGCATGGCTAACACCACATGTCCCCAGGCCTTACTTAGCTGTAAAGTAGGAAAGTTGTATAGTTAAGAGTCATAGTGGCATTTTATGAAGCATTTAAGAGGCCTAATAAACTGTAAATTGTACAACATTTCTGCAATAAATTCCTTTTCATGACTTATACAGACCATCTACGACATGCTTGGACTTTCTGACTTGTCCTAAACATCCCTTCTTTTAAACAAACAGTCATTTTACTTTAGGACAATAACTTACCATACAAGATCCTTTCTTACGTGAAACTCTTTTGTTTATAACCTTCTTTGCATAACTAAGCGGCATGGCTAATTGCACACATCCCCAGGTCTTATCTAGAGTCTAATGGCTCCAAGGTAGGTAAATTAAACAATTTCCAAATGTCAGAGAAGCAGTTTATGACCTTAAAGCATTTAGCAAACCTAATACTTGATCTACTTTAGATCAAATGTCTAAATTTTGAAGACATTTTTATTTTACCAATAATCTTTAAAACTGTCTTTATTTCCCAAAGATTACTAAAGTCACATGAACTAAAAGGCATTCATTTTAATTTTTCTGACAGAATATTTGATTTAAGTGCCTTTTTTCTTTAAGCCAATTAATTTGAGCTCTTTTGCATAAATATCACACACAACACACATAAATGCAGAGAAAGAAAGATGATCTAGTAGTTGTAAGATTTTTCATTTGCCAGTATTTAAGTTTCTTAGTTGGATTACTGGCTTCAAGGTGGAGTCCATGGAGGAAAATGGCTAGGAAAATATGCAATTTCTAGGGCCTAATAAGCAGACACAGCTGGAAGGCAAAAACAGATTCCCAAAATTAAGAGTCTCATTTTTATATCAGATCCTCAATCCCAAAAAAGAGGGAATCAGCCCATCTCCCATGGGAGTCTTATTGCTCAGTGTGGGGTAGGGATAGTTCTATACCTTGTAGGTGACCAAGAGCATGCTTCTCTAATCCAAACATGCAAAGAGTTGAGTATCTCCCCCATACCTGCCATTAAACATCCCTAAAAGTACATTTCCTACTTAATTATTACACATCAATGTTCTCTCATAATGCAAAGTAATACCTGATACCCCAAAAGTAAAAAAAAAGTCAGGTAACATAATGTAAAATCAAACAGAGCCTTAGATTTTGAGAGATCTATCTGCTTTCAATTCCCAGGATTCCATGAGGAAAAGAGAGGTTTTTTCCCAGAATGGAAACTTAGAAACGATCTGAAGCTTTCTCATGTGGGCATCAAGAACAGCAAGAAGGCAAAATGTAGAAATAATTCAGTCAACTGAGAAGAAAAAAACCGTTTTTCCAGGAAAACAAGATTCAAAAAGAGAAAAAACATAAAGACTTTTTAAGTGTATGTATAGCTTGGATATCTGCATTTAATTAAGCTGATTTTAACCACAATGTTCTTAAAAATAAAAGTCCTTTTAGGTTTCTTGTTATCCTACTTTAGCTAGGCCAAATGGCCAATATTTCTGGCTTTTAAACTTTACCAAAAGTGACTTCACAGGTGAAACAGAAATTATAACAAACTGTCTCTCAGACCACAGTGCAATCAAACTAGAACTCAGGATTAAGAAACTCACTCAAAACCACTCAACTACATGGAAACTGAGCAACCTGCTCCTGAATGACTACTGGGTACATAACGAAATGAAGGCAGAAATACAGATATTCTTTGAAACCAGTGAGAACAAAGACCCAACATAGCAGAATCTCTGGGACACATTTAAAGCAGTGTGTAGAGGGACATTTATAGCACTAAATGCCCACAAAAGAAAGAAGGAAAGATCTAAAACTGACACCCTAACATCACAATGAAAAGAACTAGAGAAGCAAGAGCAAACACATTCAAAAGCTAGCAGAAGGCAAGAAATAACTAAGGTCACAGCAGAACTGAAGGAGATAGAGACACAAAAGCCCTTCAAAAAATCAATGCATCCAGGAGCTGTTTTTTTTTTCTTTCTTTTGTTTTTTTTTTTTTTTAAAGAGCAACAAATTGAATTGACTGCTACTAGCAAGATTATAAAGAAGAAAAGAGAGAAGAACAAATAGATCAATAAAAAATGATTAAAGGATATCACACACCGATCCCACAGGATAATAAAAGTACCATCAGAGAATACTATAAACACCTCTACACAATAACTAGAAAACCTAGAAGAAATGGATAATTCCTCGGACACATACAGCCCTCCCAAGTCTAAACCAGGGAAGAAGTGGAATTGCTGAAATAGACAAATAACGGGCTCTGAAATTGAGGGCAATAAATAATTAGCCTACCCAACCAAAAAAAGTCCAGGACCAGACAGATTCACAGCCAATTTTTACAGAGGTACCAAAGAGGAGCTGGTACCACTTCCTTTCTGAAAACCTGATTCCACCAATAGAAAAGAGGGAATTCCTCCCTAACCTTCAATTTTATGAGGGCCCAGCAGTCATCCTGGATACCAAAGCCTGGCAGAGACTCAAGCAAAAAAAAGAGAATTTTAGACCAATATCTCTGGCATGAACAATTCGATGCAAAATATCCTCAAATTAAAGCACAGGCCAACTGATCCAGCAGCCACATCAAAAAAGGCTTATCCCACCCATGATCAAGTGGGCTTCATCCCTGGGATGCAATGGCTGCTTCAAACATATTGCAGATATCAATTAATTGTAATCGTGTATTAAACCAGATACAAAGTACAAATCCCCACATTTGATATCTTCAATAGAATTGCAGAAAAGGCCTTGGACAAAAATTTCAACTGTCGTTCGATTGCTAAAGACTTCCTCAATAAATTGGTATTGATGGTGATGTATCTTCAAAATAATAAGGAAGGCTAAATTTATGAGAAACCCACAGGCCAACTATCATACTGAATGGGGCAAAAACTGGAAGCTTTCCCTTTGATAAACTGGCACAAGGACAGGGATGGCCCTCTTTCTTCACCAACTCCTATTCAACATAGT